TGATGGAGTTTCCACACTCTTTTGAGTGTCAATAAACCATGATCAGTGTATGTGAAGATTTCAAAAGAAATTGAGAATAAGAAAGCCTACCTGAGGAATAACACCATGCTCTTCTTGAGAAAATGCATAGCCATCTGTAACATGAACACACTTATTTATTCAGTTTAACACAAAAATAAACAGAGTAAAAAGGTCACATTCAACTTGTCAGCAAACCTCCAACAGTTCACAACTTGTATGATGCAGTAGAAACAACTCTAGACACTAGATGGCACTATTTCACAATATTTTGAACATCAAGTCATCCACAATCTCTCAGCGATCTTGGAGTACATTGAATTGTTGTTTGCAATTACTCACAGTGCAGTAAATGTTGCCTTCTGGCTCATGGCTAAAACAATGATGCGTTAGTTACTTAGCTAATTACCATGTTCTATCTAGTACAAGAATATGCAACAATATAATGCACATTATAATGCCGTGCATTGCCGTATACTGAAATGGCATGTTCTGATTGGTCAAATAATACCACGTGTAGGTGATATATCATATGATATACGACAGTGTTCATTGAATATATCCAATCAGCTGCTCGGACCATAACAAGCTGCAGACGACAGGAGTCTAAATCTGTGTGATCGATATGACAAATAACAATATGGAGGAAGAAAAGTATTCTGAAGCAAATTTTGATCTCAATTTTATACCGGTACTGCTGACCAAAACGATTCCAGACGAGCTTGTCAGCATCAAGCAACAATGAAACAAGTGGGCAACGGTAAAACAGACGAGTGACAGTGACAGCGGGGAGTGACAGCTTTCCAAAGTAAGTTTAGTTATTGACTACATTTTTCTGTCAATTACATTGGTATTATGATTGTGTCTTATTTTATAAAGTAACTGTGAGTATGTGTTTATGATTGGGAATATCAGTCAGTAAGTTTACGTGGGGCGATAAGAATGAGTGAATACATGATGTAACCGTCTAAATACCTGACATTATTCACCAACTAAAACCAATACAAGTTTTTCATATTTTGTTCATAAAATTTAAACAAGACCTGTAGCTAAGAGACAATTATGTCCACTTTGATCCAAAACAAAGAAATCATTAAAGAAAATGTATAAGGCACCGACATTTTGGCAGGAAAAATAATAGCATTTAAAGACCATCTTATAAACAAGCAGCCTATCGGCTGAGATAGCTCCGCTGTTAGCAATGCACATTTCAATTAAAGAACTGAAGACAACAATATGTATACTATCAAAGCAATCGGACTTACAGTTTTTAACAAGAAGTCGAAAATATCACTTTTTACCAAAAACTACAAAAATATTCAGCAAAATTAGAGAATTGAAGATATCATCACAAAATGAACAAATCTGAGAGAGGTCCACATGTAGTACCTATATATGTAATATCAAAGCAATCAGACTTACAGTTTTTAACAAGAAGTCGAAAATATCACTTTTTACCAAAAATGACAAAAATATTAACCAAAATTAGAGAATTGAAGATATCATCACAAAATGAACAAATCTGAGAAAGGTCTACATGTAGTATCTATATATGTAATATCAAAGCAATTGCACTTGCGGTTTTTAACAAGAAGTCGAAAATATCACTTTTTACCAAAAATGACAAAAATATTCACCAAAATTAGATAATTGAAGATATCAACATGAAATGAACAAACCTAAGAGAGGTCTACCCAAGGTACATATACACCAAGTATCAAAGCATTCAGGCTTGTAGTTTTCAAGAAGAAGTCGAAAAAGTAAAACATTGACACGGACGACACCGGACAATCACTCATATGATAAGCTCCGCTCGACAAAGTCGACAGCGGAGCTAAAAAAGTAGAGCAAAATTGTGGAATCACGACCACTCCTCTGTCAGTGTATCCTTCGCTGTAGAAGTGAGTTGAAATGATAAAACACCTGAATGTTTTCTAGTCCTCTACACTATTGCATCATTGTTATGTGATGTACCTACTTATCCACCTTACTGGCACACAATGTGGTCCCCATAGAAAGCAATTAGTAAGTGAAATGCATGCCACTTAAGTGTCAGTCTCTAGTTTCTACTGAAAGACATATTTTTTTGTCTCATACAGAACCCTTACCCCTAAACAAGGCTAGGATAAATATACTGTCACATACAAGTCACAGTTGTTATCATTTTGACCCAAATACTATCACCAGTCTCCATCAGCCACAAAGACCAATGATGAACAAGTCTCATACTAGCACTAAACAATGAAAATACCTTG